CATGATTGGCCATATCCTTTTGAAGAAGGGAAGCTCTTTGTTCTTACACTTCGAGCTGGTATGGAAGGTTACCACATCAGTGTTAATGGAAGACATATCACATCTTTCCCCTATAGAACTGTGAGTAACTTGCAGAGACAGCTCAATAAATTATAGAATTTCTTGATGAGTTGGTTTAACATTGACCGGTATAATGGTTTTTTCTTTTCAGGGGTTTGTGCTGGAGGATGCCACTGGACTAGCAGTCAAGGGAAACATTGATGTGCATTCGGTGTATGCGTCCACGTTACCCTCTACAAATCCGAGTTTTGCACCGCAAAAGCATCTTGAGATGCAAAGCATATGGAAAGCTCCTTCGTTACCTCAAAAGCCCGTAGAGCTGTTCATCGGAATTCTCTCTGCTGGTAACCATTTTGCAGAGAGAATGGCAGTGAGGAAGTCATGGATGCAGCAAAAGCTAGTCAAATCGTCTAGAGTTGTTGCGCGATTCTTTGTGGCATTGGTAAGCACAATTCTTGATAAAGAATTTCACCCCTAAACATAGCCATTGGTTTGTTTATGTTAATTCATCTTGCAGCACGCAAGAAAGGAAGTCAATGTGGATCTAAAGAAGGAAGCTGAGTACTTTGGTGATATTGTCATAGTACCGTACATGGATCATTATGACCTTGTTGTGCTCAAGACGGTGGCCATTTGCGAATATGGGGTGATAGGCTAACTAATCCCTTTGTCCCTCGTTTATTCCTCCTTACTTTTGATTATTTTTCTGATGATTAATCCTGGAAATTGTAGGTTAGCACAGTGGGAGCGAAGTATATCATGAAATGTGACGATGACACATTTGTGCGAGTGGATGCCGTGATCCAGGAAGCAGAAAAGGTTAAGGGAAGAGAGAGCCTTTATATTGGAAACATTAATTTCTACCATAAGCCTCTGCGCACCGGGAAATGGGCTGTGACATACGAGGTAGAGATTTTTGTATCAGACCCAAAACTTAACAGAGCTGTACAAGTAACATGAAATGGATTATCATGAACTTTGCTCATATTTATCTTCAATTGTGAACCCAGGAATGGCCAGAAGAGTATTACCCTCCATACGCTAATGGTCCTGGTTACATCTTGTCATATGATATAGCTAAGTTCATCGTCGACGATTTTGAAAAGCAGAGATTAAGAGTAAGTTATCCTTTTAGATAACCCTTCCAAGAAACGTGAAATTATGGAATCTAGCAGCTGTTGATATGGTCTTGGTACTTGTTGATTATTGCAGTTATTCAAAATGGAAGATGTGAGCATGGGAATGTGGGTGGAGAAGTTCAACAAGACTAGACCCGTGGCAGTGGTTCACAGCCTCAAGTTCTGCCAGTTTGGATGCATAGAAGACTACTTCACTGCTCATTATCAGTCGCCTCGCCAGATGATTTGTATGTGGGATAAGCTGCAGATAGTCGGAAAGCCCCAATGCTGCAACATGAGATGACAAAACATTGTTTTTTTGCCGGATTCAGGAATTTTTCGCTAGAAAGGAAAATGAAGAAGCAGATGGGAGTTTATGGAGCTAACTGTTTTAGATCTCTG